GGGGGGGGGGGGGGGGGAGGAAACACAACAACAACAACAACCTCCAACCAGCACCAGAAAATAGGCATAAAAACCTCCGAGAACCTCTCAACCCAAAAACAGGAACCAAGTTACGTAGGTCAAGATCAGACAACAAAAAGCATGGCTCAAACTTACCAGCGCCGCTTCAGTGCGGTAGCAGCAACTAAGACAGCCACCTCAAAGACTCCCGCCCAGATGGTTTCCGATGTGGACCATGAGACGCTGCGCTTTCTCTTGCAAGCCCCACAAATCAAGGGAGAGAAAGTCACCATCAAAGTCAGAAATATCAAGGACAATACTGATGAAGAAGTGACAGCTTGGGCATATCCAAAAGATAAGATGCCCGACACGAACGCAACCTTCGAGAAGCACGCTCTCATTTTCTCCTTCTCCAATGACGGAGCAAGACTCTCACCCGTGGAGAAAAGAAAATGGGTAGTGAAAACCATTCAGGAACAAGAGAACATCAAGACTGATGTCGATACGTTCTCCCTGCTCGGCTTGGGCAGAACCATGATGATGGTGGTGCTCAAAGACGCCACCCAAGCAACACACTTGCTGGAAAAATGTGAAACTTTGAACTGTAACGGCTCTGTCTGCACCCTGTCACGCTGGAAATCAGAAACAGCACAGCGAGCCGAAATCTCGCCAGCTGCTTCCTACAAGCAGCGACTGATGAGGGAACAGTTCTGGGTACAATTTGACAACATCCCCGCCAGAGGCCATCCCCTGATCAAAGACCGCCTGGAAGTGGAATACCCAGCCAATAAGGTGTTGAAGTGGGTCCTTCCCACGCCCGACTTCTTGGCCCCCCACTGCGACTCAGTCACAGCGGTCTTGAAGGTACTCTCAGATGACCCTCCAATCTTCCCAGAAGAGTGGCAATGTCTCATTGTAGACAAAGTCACGGTGGTAACAGTCTCAACCAAAGCGTCGCCAATCTGTTTTAGATGCAAAGCCAGGGGCCACCTGGGAACGGATCCCAAATGCCCGCGCTCCACCGAACAGAAACAATTGAGGCAGAGCATGCTAGTAGAAGTGGAAGAAGCTAAAGGAATCTGCTTCGTCAACGACTCAGACTGCGACGTCTGGGTCTTCGACGATAATATCCCAGATCCCAAATGGATTTGGACCATACTTGCGGCGCACTGGTGCGGTGCGCGATGCGGTGCGGTGCGCCCTGCGGAATATGCGCGATGACACTGCGCGTGCATGTGCGCGCACGCGCACGAGGTGCGCCGTGCACGCAGCGCATGGAGACGCG